TCTCCTGCTGTTTTGTTGCTTCAGTTTTCCTTTGTTCTTATATTCCACAGATGAGTGAAATCATTTGGTTCTTGTCTTTCTCTGCCTGGCTTATTTCACTGAGCATAATACCCTCTAGGTCCATCCATGTTGTTGTAAATGGTAGGATTTGTTTTCTTCTTACGGCTGAATAATATTCCATTGTGTATATGTACCACATCTTCTTTATCCACTCATCTACTGATGGACACTTAGGTTGCTTCCATTTCTTGGCTATTGTAAATAGTGCTGCGATAAACATAGGGGTGCATCTGTCTTTTTCAAACTGGAGTGCTGCATCCTTAGGGTAAATTCCTAGGAGTGGAATTCCTGGGTCAAATGGTATTTCTACTTTGAGTATTCTGAGGAACCTCCATACTGCTTTCCACAATGGTTGAACTAATTTACATTCCCACCAGCAGTGTGGGAGGGTTCCCCTGTTCTCCACATCCTCGCCAGCATTTGTTGTGGTGTGTGTTTTGGATGCTGGCGATCCTTACTGGTGCGAGGTGATTATCTCAATGTGGTTTTAACTTGCATTTCCCTGATGATTAGGGATGTGGAGCATCTTCTCATGTGCCTGTTGGTGATCTGAATTTCTTGTTTGGAGAACTGTCTGTTCAGATCTTCTGCCCATTTTTTAATTGGATTATTTGCTTTTTGTTTGTTGAGGTGTGTGAGCTCTTTGTATATTTTGGACGTCAGCCCCTTATCGGGAATTTCTTTAACTTTCGAGACCTTTGTGGATCAGGCCGAGTATACTTTTTCCCAACCATGCTTTTGCATCTCATGGTCCAATGAAAAGATGGATTCTTGGCCTGTGTGTGCACGAGAATGCATGACTTAAACTTGTCTTTTCCCGCCTTGGATCTGGGAAGTCCCTGACGATGTCAGATTTGAACAAGGTGAACATCTGTTGTCTAGGAATGTGTCTCCTCCACAAGGAAGTTGCAAACTCAAGGGACACTGAGGTCCTTCAGCAATTCCGAATACTGCAGAGAGGAGGACAAGAAGGCCACAACTAGGACAAAGAGGGACAGGCTTTAGGTGGGATGACCAGTAAGTTTTCAAGTTTACCATAATCTTACCTAAAACTAAAATTCTTTGAGTGAACCATGCAATATTTGTTTGCAGAACAAAAAGTAAGATTCTGATTAACCAACATTCCTCTTATTTGTGTATAAGAACGCTTCCAAATGCAGTTTATCTTTTTTATTTAGTTGCCATACAGCATTATTTGGTGTACAACACAGTGATTCAACAATTATATACATTACTAAACGCTCTCCAGAAGTGTAGTTACCATTAGTCATCATACAAAGATATTACAATACTATTGACTATATCCCCTATCCTGTATTTTTCATCTCCATGAGTGATTTTATAATTGGACGTTTGTCCTCTTCTGCCCTTTCAGCTATTCACCAGCTCCCCCCACACCCCCTGGCAACTGCCAGTTTGTTTATATTTATGAGTCTATTTCTGTTTTGTTATTTTTACAGATTCTACATTTAAGTGAAATCATATGGTTTCTTTTTCTCTGACTTCTTCCTTTTAGTGTAATACCCTCTATGTGCACCCATGTTGTCACAAATGGCAAGCTTTCATGTTTATGGCTGAGTAATATTCCACTGCCTGTATCTACCACACCTTTTATCCATTCATCTATTAGTGGCCACCTAGGTTGTTTCCATATCTTGGCTATTTTAAATAAGCTGTGATTAACATGGTGTGCACATTATCTTTTCAAATTCATGATTTTGTTTTCTTTGGGTAAATTTCCAGAATTAGAATTACTGGATCATATGGTGTTTCTGCTTAATTTTTGAGGAACCCCCATACTGTTTCCCTAGTGGCTGCCCAAACAGACAAAAACAGAGTCTTGTTTCACAAGAGCAGCCATGAAATAATAATCGTGGAAGATTGGGAAGGGTTCACCTGACTTCCTAATGCAGCATTTCTATTTTATATGAAATTTCATATTAAAAATTTCATTTTAAATTAAACTAGCCATAACAACAACAATAATAATAAATGGTCTGTCTTAGTCTGTCTAGGCTACTACAATGAAATACTAAGACTGGCTTGTAAACAACAGAAATTCATTTTTCACAGGACTAGAGAAGACAGAGATCAGGGTGCTGGCACAGCCAGGTAAGGGCCCCCTTCAGGGTCTCTGACTTCTTGTGTCCTCAGTGTGCTGGAAGGGGGTGGGGAGCTCTCTGGGCACGACGTTCTCTTTTATCAGAGCACTAATCCTATTCACAAGGGCTCCACACTGATGACTTAATAAGCATCACCAAAAGGCCTCATCTCCTAAAACCATCACCTTTGTGGGTTAGGATTTCGATGTTATTAATTCGGAGGTAACACAAACATCCAGACCATAGGATTCTCATTTTTTCAGTAATTTTATTTGTTGAGAAGGATGAAATAAAAAGGGCAAAGAGGTACTTCTGGCTCCCAGTCCATTGTAACTAAACTGGAAGTCACCACTCTACCCTAACATGTGAAAAACTAAACAAGCTGAAAAAATAAACATTCTTAGATTCCTAAAAGAAGTACAGTCACAGGGAAACTGCTGCCCCCAAAGTGGAGACACTGACCAGCAAATACAGATAATCTCAGTTTACTGAAGCGGAAACCCACAAGCTAAAATGACCTGGGACACCAGTGCCAGGCTGGGGACCCTGAGCTGTAACTGACGAGCTGCTGGAGGCTCAGCAAGGATGAGCCTGAGAGTAAAACCTCCAGTGGAACTCAATCCTGGGGGAGCCCCCACACTTCTGCTGAGTTTTATCTAATCTCCAGATTCTCACTGAGTATTAGAGAAAAATGCTGTTGGGCTACCAGCAGAGATAAAGGAAAGGGAACCGTTTTCAAATACGCCAAACATTCTCTTCTTTACACAGTCTATGTACAGGAGAAACTGTTTTGTTTCAGGGAAAATTCATGTTCAGAGACTGAGTTTATCTGTGCCAGCAATTCATTTAATATAGGTTCACTCTGGGAATTTCACAAGCCAATAGCATCCAAGATGACCTCTTAATAAGCCAGTGAAGAAACAATATACTCCAAGCCAATGAGAAGTCTAGCACACTATTGCTGGAGGCAAGGGGAGATGAAAGGAATAAAATCCAAATTCAGTTGAGATGTACCTTTATACAAGTTGGTACTAAGGAGAGACAGCTCAGCCAACCAAGAGATAATGTCCAGCAGCCATCACAAGCATAAAAGTGCCGTGTTACTAGGAAACAACAGTCCTGGTGGTTATGGAAAAGAGGGTCTCTTACAGACCACTGCAGTTGTCATCACTGCTGATAAAAAAATCACCTTAGGTCAGCAAAGGTTGACCCTGCCCAAAGCAAACACTCCTGGACAGGCCTCACAATCTTTTGGTATTTACAGTCCAAAATACTCCTTGCTACAGTTGTTCCTTTATATGGGTTTACTGATAAGCCTCAGTGGTGCCCTCAGCAGCTTTACTGTCTTTACTGGTGAGAACAGATGAGATGACATCCTGATACAACTTACCTCATTCCTATATCAAAACAACTTCATTTTGTCATAATCTAGTGGATTTGAAATCATATCAAACCGACATACACACTGTTCAAGCAGAACCTAACCTGCTGAGGTTTCACACGCCTACGTGACCTGCGGGGAAGGAAACAGCCGACTCCAGCCGTCCTGACACTGCTGAGCGAGGACTGAAAAGGCATGTGTGCAGCTCACAGAACAGAAGCACAAACTCACTAAAAGACTAAGACCTATGTTATATGGCAATCATGTTGATTTTAAAAATTCAAAAGAAGAGAAAAAGCTTTAATCTACAAACAAAACAAAACTTCCTAAGCTTGGAAATATTAAAAATATGCTCTTAAAGAACTCATAGGTTAAAGAAGAAATCATGACGCATGACAAACAGAGACCTAGTCACAGGCTTTATAATATATAACACTCCCCCGCCCCCTCCACCTTAATACCACATCACAAAAGGCCTGTTTACAGCCTTTACCTGAGATCATGCCTACCGATCAAGAACAGATGGTCAATATACTTTAGAAATTCTAAAATGGAATAAAAAAGAAATGCTAGAGATCAAAACCTCTGTAACAGAAATGAAGACTGCTTTTGATGGCGTATTAGCTAAGAAAATAATCTGACTTGAGGATATCTCTAGTACATACAAAACTGAAAAACAAACAGAACAATACCCAAAAACTGTGGTGTAACTATAAAAGTTGTAAATAGGAATAATCAAAGAAGAAAGAGATAAAGGAACAGAAGAAACTGAATCAGTAATAACCTTCCAAAACAGAATGAATCATACTTAAATGGGTTCCTGGTATATTCTACGAAACATCTTAGGAAGAATAAATTATGTCAATTCTCTATAATCTCTTTCAGAAGACAGGAGAGGGAAGAATTCCTGACTTGTTCTAAGAGACTAGCACTACCTGAATACCCAAACCCGAGACATTACAAGAAAACTTCAGAACACAGATGTAAAACTCACCAATGAGATACCACTACACACCTATGAGAAAAGGGAAAAATCTTGAATACTGACACCACCAAATGCTGGTGAGAATGAGAAACAATAGGAATTCTCTTTTGTTGCTAGTGAGAATAGTACTGGCAGTTTCTTACAAAACTAAACATACCCCTACCATACAAATCCAGTAATTGTGCTCCTTGGTATTTACCCAAAGGAGATGAAAACATGCCCACACAAAACTCTGCACGATTGCTTATAGCACCTTTGTAATTGCCAAAACTTGGAAGCAAACAAGATGTCCTTTGGTAGGAGAATAGATAAATGGTCATACATCCACACAATGGATTACACATTTCTAAAAGGATATGCACTACCAAGCCGTGAAAATACATGGAGGAAACTTAACTGAATATTACTAAGTGAAAATAGACAATCTGAAAAGTCTATACTGTATGATTCCAACTATACGGCCTTCCTCAAAAGGTAGAACTATGGAGATAGAAAAAAGATCAGTGGTAGTCAGATAACGTGGGAGGAAGGAGAGATGAGCAGGCTGAATACAGAAAGTTTAGGGCAGTGAAACTACTATGTGGTACTAAAATGGTGGCTTCATATCATTATAAATGTATTCAAACTCAGAATGTGCAACACCAAGAGTAAACCCCAATAGAAGCGATGGACTCTGGGTGATCGTGATGTGTCAATACAGCTTCATCGATTGTGACAAACGTACCCCTCTGTGGGGAATGCGGGTAACAGATGCAGTGCATATAGGGGCAGGGAGAGTGTGGGGAATCTCTACCTTCCTGACTTTGCTATGAAGCTCAAAGCTCTAAAAAGTCTTTAAATAAAAAATATACATACAAGACAGAACGCTGGACCAAGAGTTAGTAAGCCTGGGTTTCACTTCTAATCCTGCTCTTAATTAGCTGTGCAAGTCATTTCCTCTTCCTGGGCCCTAATTTATCTGCAAAAGAAGATATTTTATATCTAAAGCTTTTTCCAGTTCCAACTTTCTACAGTTAATACCAATTCTATTTTAAAGTTACAAAGCGCCCTCAAAAACTTTGTAGTATTTGGATATCAGATCAAGTATATGAAATATGGCCACACACACACACATTTAATAATGTCTTAAAAATAAATAAATAAGGATTAGGAAGTAATAAGTTTTGGGTTGTTTAAATCAATTTAATTCAGGCATAATTGACTTAAACTGCTCATGATATCTAAAATATACATTTTGACCTTTTAGATGCTTAAGAGTATTAAAACCAGAAGTTCCCTCCTACCCTTTTTAATTTATCCCTCTCACCAGATGAAATTCCTCATAACATGACATACTCTACCCTTTGTAATGGCTGTTTTCAAATGTATCAGAAAATGGAAAAGACTATTAGAAAATTATTATTCTGTTATTATTTGTAATTTTATGGTGGTTCTTGTTTAGGCTACCCCTGCACACTTAGTGGGTTAGTTTACTTATAATCCCAGACATCATGTCATTTCACTTAACCTCTTCAGAAAGTATAAAGGTTCTTTGTCACATAAAAATCAAAGTATCTAAAATTATGGTAAGTTGTTATAAGTGATGAATTTTTGTCAGTTGTTTTCATTTTTAATGCAGATGATTGTAATCCTCAGGCAATTATTATGTGAATCTTACTAGTCTTTTAAACTTTAAATTCTTGTTCACTTAATGAAGTCGCTGAGCCATTTGTCCATTAAAATGTGCACAATTTAGATTTGACTTTTCAATTATTTTATACTGTTTGTAACATGCTCTCCCTTCCCCCATATTTCTTTTACAACAGTTATGCTCAACATCATGTAACATAAGGGAAATGTAATTAAAACCACAGTGAGATACGGCTATCCATTTACTATAATGATCAAAATTTAAAAAGATTAACAATATCCACTGTTAGCCAGGCTATGGGAGAAATGGTATTCTCATATACTGCTGGTAGGAATACAAAAGAGACAATCATTTTAGATAACAATTGGTTGTTTCTTAAAAAGTTAAACATTTGCCTATGGTCTAACCTAGGTAGTATTGCACTTCAAGGTATTAACATATGAGAAAGAAAACATATAAATATTAAGAAATCCAATTTTTGCAGTTTTATTTATAACAGTCCAAACTGGAAACAATAAAAACACCCATAAACATGAATAAATAAATAAATAGTGGTATATCAACAGAATATTCTTCTCAACAATATAAAAAGAATGTACTATTCACATAAGCACCGTTCATGAATCTCAAAAGAAATGTCATGAGGGGATCCAAGAAAAAGAAAGACTGAAGACTGTGATTTCAATCATGAAAAATTCTAGAAAATGCACATTAACCTATTATAATAAAAAGTAAAAAATGGCTGCCTGGAGAACCCAAATTATTTAAGTATACAAGGTAAACATGGGGGTGATAGAAAGGCTCATTATGATTGTTAACAGTTTTATGGTTTTATATGAATGGCAAGACTTATCCAATTGGACAGGTTAAATATGGAGTTTATTGTACGTCACCAACATCTTATTACAACTAAAAATATGGTTCAATTTCGTATTTTATAGAAAACCAGGTTTGGCAACCACACCAGCTCTACCACCTCTTTCCTCATGATGGGGCACCTTCCTCAGTGGCAGCAAAAACAGATGAGCAATAAAGGCTGTTTCCACTTCTTTCAACAGAAAGACCGGTGGGGTCACAAAGGCCTCGCCGCTGAGCCGAGAGCCCCCTTCTCTCAATCCTTGTTTTCCTGCCTGCCCAGCAATGGCCTTAGGTAAGAGATGCCACAGGAATCCAAAAACCTTTGAGACTTTTTTCTAACGAGGCCCTCAGCTAAGAAGATACACAGTGCCAGAGGTCCTGAGAACTTCTGCACCTGCCCATCCTTACCAGCCATGTGGGTGCCCCTTTAAGAGATGCACATTCTAATCATGTTACCCTACAGAACTCAGGACATCAGGGCCCATGGCTCTGCTGCTGGGCCGGGGAACACATTTCTCTCACCAGTTCTGCACACAATGCCAGATCCCCCGTGAACGAGAACAAGTTCGTGTTGCTCTCAGAAGCACTGAAGGCCGTCAGAATGACCAACTGCCTCGGCCTGGGTTGCCTCCTAGCCGACAGCACATCACGGCATCCAACTATGAATCAGGACCACAGAGCCCTGCAGCCTTTCCTTGAAAGCTTTAAGCAGCAATGTAAACGAGGCCAAAAATGGAGAGGTTTATTCTGCCACCCCACTGTCTCCTCTGAGACATAAAATCTGGGATCCCAGCCACAGCTGCTCACACCTTCATGCTAGAAAACCCAGTTCACTTCAAGGCACCCGTGGAGTGAATAGAACTGCCAAGATTAAAGGGTGTCTTAAACACTAAGACCTTTACTACTGTACACACACAAACATGGGAGGCATACTGTTCCCAGGTTGGTGATTTTGAGGCTGGAAAATTCCATCACTAGAGTATCATGAGACTAACAATATCCCTGAAGAATGGAGTCCATCTTCTCCAATCAGCAACAGAATCTTCTAGGCCAAAACAGGGAAGGGTGCACAGCCCAACCCGTCAGAGAGCAACAAACAGGAAAAGTGCCCTGGCTGCCCATGAATCGTCCTGTAAATGGGAGAACACTGGGGTTTCCCTCCCCAAACGCACTGGGATAGATGAAATGCACACTGTGGGCACCTGACAGGTGTATACATGACGTGACTTCTGCCACACAGTTGCTGGTGACATCGATCTGGCACCTGGATTGGTTAAAAAGTATGATGCAGTTCCCACATACCTGGTATTTGGATGTATGAAGTTCAATATAGGAAAACGGCACCTTCCCAAGGGCTCTTCTTCGGTGTTTTTGCATACAGCAAGAGCATATACCTGCGCATTTAATAGATCTCCCATGTTAGAGCACGGGTGTATCCAATGTGGTAAGTCCTTTGGCTGAAGGCTTTCTCCCATTCACTGCACCTGTAAGGTGTTTCTCCACTGTGAATTCTGGAGTTTAATTTCATAGTCATAAAGATTTCATAATTTCACTCATAAAGTGTGAACAGTACTAGTCACTGAAGTTGGAACTATGGCTAAACAATTTCCTGAATTCATTGCAAGCATAAAGCCTTTATCCAGTGTGAACTCTTCGGTGTTTTATGAGGCTAGAGCTGTGGCTAAAAGATTTCCCACATTCACTGCACTCATAGGGCCTTTCTCCTGTGTGAATTCTCCTGTGTTTAATGAGGCTGGAGTTCTGAGTAAAGGATTTCCCACATTCACTGCACTCATAAGGCCTAGATCCAGTATGTACTCTCTGGTGTTTTAAGAGACTGGAGCTGTAAGTAAAGAATTTCCCACATACACTACACTCATAGGGCCTTTCTCCAGTGTGAACTCGCCGATGTTGAAGAAGTGCAGAGCTTTGGCTAAAAGACTTCCCACATTCGCTGCACTTGTAGGGCCTTTCTCCACTGTGAACTCTACGGTGTTCAATGAGGCTGGAGTTTTGAGTAAAGGATTTTCCACATTCACTGCATTTGTAGGGCCTTGATCCAGAGTGAACTCTCTGGTGTTTTATGAGGCTGGAGTGGTAGGTAAAGAATTTCCCACATTCACTGCACTCATAAGGCCTTTCTCCAGTGTGAACACTCCGGTGTTGGAGGAGCGCAGAGCTTTCACTAAAAGATTTCCCACATTCACTGCACTCATATGGCCTTTCTCCAGTGTGAATTCTCCGATGTTTAATGAGATTGGACTTGTTGCTAAATAATTTTCCACACTGTTCACACTCGTGAGGCCTTGCTCCAGTGTGAACTCTCCGGTGTTGAATGAGGCTAGAGCTTTGCCTAAAGGATTTCCCACATTCCCCACATTCATAAGGTTTCTCCCCAGTGTGAACTCTCCAATGGTCATTGAGGCTGTAGCTTTTGCTGAAAGATTTCCCACATTCTCTGCACATGTAGCATCTTTCTCTGGTGAGAACTCTCTGGCGCTGAACGAGTGTGCGTTTGCAACTCAGGTCTTTCATGAATTCTGAGTTGTAGTGACTCTCTTCTCCATAAACGCCTACCCCACGCTCAGTTCTCCTGGTTGACTTCTCCCTGCTGTGTGTGGCCTGATGCTGGAGGAATTCCGAACTGTCTTGGAAGTCCCTCACCTCCCCACAGAAAAAGGGCCTCTCTAACATACGGAACTTGCAGGCTCTGCTCATGTGGCTTCTGAAGCATGTCTCTTCAATGTGCTGCTTCTGATGCTGAAGTTTTGCCCTCAAATGCAACTGTCTCTCACATGCCCCCATCTTGTACAGATTCTGCCCACAATGTGTTACCTGGTGTTCAGTCAAGGGCAAAATGTCTCTCAAGTCTGGGCCACACATCTCACAGGGACAGGTCTTCTTGGGATACACACCTGCCTTGGGAATCCTGACCTGTGACACTCCTTGTACAGATATACACGGCTCAGAAGGGGCCTCTTCATCTTCTGCTCCACGCCAGCAACCTGAAAGCAAGAAATGCTAGTGAGATGCATGCTGACTTTGGTGGAAGGGGGCAGCTACTACACAATTGTGTGTCTAACAAACCCAGGAACCAGTCCATGGGACTGTCTGCAGGGCCCGGGAGTCAACTCAGGATGAGGTGGGGCTGCTCAGCAGTACCAGGCTATAGACAGCACAGAACGTGCAATGCCTGTAAGATGAAGGATACAACATAGAGTGTGATGCAGAGAGGAGCCTGTGATTCCAGAGTCTATGATTCATTCCTTTCCAAACTACTTTTGAAAAGAACTTGCCTGCTGATAACACATGAATGCTAAGCAGAAAGGGGTGTCAAGACCCAAGAAAATACGACTATAACAAGGAAGGTAGTTTTTCAGGATCTATTTAAGAAAATACACACACTTCATGACACCATACATAGGAGCCAATGCAGAAAGCACTGCAGACGGAGCAGTGAGAAAAACGAGTGGGACACAGTCAAAAGATGTGAGGTGGGAATTGAAGTGACAACTAAAAGTTGACAAACAGGCAAAGTTTCAGGAAGGGGAAATGAAAGGAAAGAGGCGTGGCCACTGCACCAACACACTAGTCAAACAGAACGGGTTGTGGTATAACTTGAACACAGCACTGACATCATGTCGACTCCCAGGCACCACTGTGAAGGGCGAGGCTCCCTCTGAGCCATCTTGCTGTGCACATCATGTGACCACCATCAGCTCTCAACACAATCCCACACCTCCATGAGCAAATAAATGGCACCCTGACGACACAACTACTAAGGGGAAGACAGGATGGACAAGTGGCCAACACTAGCCCAGAACAAGTCAGCAGAATAGCTCATGACAAAGCTAGCTAACTATTACACAAACCCCAGAAGAGGGTCTGGCAAGGGTAACCCACGCTCCAGGTATGCAGTAACCATGTCAGTAATCCTGGCATGGGCAGGTGTGAGGAAATGCCAGCTCGTGGAAGTTGAACCTGTAGCTGGACAAAATTATGCAGTCAGGAAGAAGGCAAGGAAAGAGGTTATCGTTAGGTTCACTGCAAGACTCCTGACCCTAACTACCTCCCTGCAAGTCAGCAAGGGAGCTGGTGATGGGGCTGGTCAAGGGAGTAGAGGGCGGGGCGCATATCTCAGCCCAACCAACCACAGCACCTAACAGGGAACTGGGAAAGGAAGTGAGGTCCAGGGTCCTGATGTGAAGACTGCTCCTGGGAAAAGGGAAGGGCAGAGACTAGCTATAGGCATGGGGTGGGTGTGAGGGTCTTACCCAAGGAGGTTATAAGTGCCAAGTTTTCAAGCATCACATCCTGGTACAGGCATCTCTGAAGCTCATCAAGGAGATCCCACTCCTCCCAGGAGAAGTACACAGCCACGTCTTCAAAGGTCACCCTGCACTAGCATGATGGAGACAAATGAAACCACAAAAAAGCCCCTTTCCTGAGAACCCACAATCCCTTCCCCAACACACCTACCCAATGCCTACCCTCCTCCCAATCTCCCCAACTCAAAGGAGAAACCAGGCCCTAGTGCCTGTGTCTCTCACTGGTGCCATTGTCTTCTTATGGGCCCACTGACCACAGGGCCCAGCTGTCAGCAAGAGGCAGACCAACAAGTAGGTATCTAAGCTGTGGACCAGTATGGATCCACCCACTCATGCCAGGCTATTCCACTGGTGTGGCCAAGGTCATGTAAATCTCAATGCCAGGGCCCTGGGGACATGAGGCGTATGCAGAATTCTTGAGACTAGATTCCACAGCCACTTTCTATGATCACCACCATCTCACCATCGCACACCACAGGACTCTACCTGACTTCTCACATGTCACTTCATTTTAATCACCTCCTGTTCACCCCACTAGTAAGGATGGGATTCCCATCTTAGGGTTATAGAGATGGGCAAACACATGACACCTGGTCTGTGCAGAGGAGACAGACAGCAGTTCATTAATCACACATATTCCTAGCCTAGGAGAGGAGAATGCCACACCCTGAAAAAGAGTGAACCACCAGGAGCTGCTGGATGCAAGCTTTATAGGATCAAGAGGGTAGAGGGTACTTATCAGTTCCTCAGAGAGGATGTGATTGGCCCATGTGAATAACTCCTTGGGCAGGCAGGGAACTGAAACCCACACAAACGGATGAGCAGGACGTGCACCCGGTCCCTCTGACGAAATGGTTGTGAGCAGGAGACCTCAGCAGCAGCAGTACTGGGTGGAGACCTTGCACTCTGGCCACCTGAGTCCCTCCAGCTTTCACCAGGCATAACGGCAGTAAATAATACTGGGCCTTAACAATCAGGCTGTACACCACAAATGGGTGACAGCAGCCAGGGTGTGCTTGGCATACACAGATAGGATTCAATGCTACCCGACACCTACTGTGGTTCCTACTAGCAGTGGCAACCCCAAATCCCCTAAGAAAGCCTCCCTGCCGGGCCCCATTCCTTGCCTCGGACAGCCACATAGTACCACACGTGGCTCTCAGACACCCACGGTCCTCTTCCAACTGTGCTGCACTTGATGTCCCCTCAGCAACTGCCAACCTCCTCTGTCCGCCTGACACTCATTCAGGGCCCACCCCAGGCCTAGTGACTCACAGGTGACTGCAGGCCAGAGATGACTTTGTTCTCCAGGCTGAGTGAAACAAGCCAGGCCCCAACAAAGTCCTCACAAAGTCCTGGTGCCATTCATAGAATCAATAAGCTCCAGGTCAAGCCTGAGTGCCTTCAAGCCTTAGTTACTCCTTGGCTTCTCCCATCCCCACCCCATGCCTACTCTTCGCGGGAAACCCTGGCCTCCTGCCCGCCTATCCAGTCCCTGACACGCTCTCTTCACGGCCACGTACCTCCCTCACCTGTTTGTGTAGCTCAGCACCATGACCCAGACATGCAAGCAGAAGACCCAGCCAGGGCACCCTAACCTCCTCCTCTTCCTGGCTCCCTAACGGCGTTGCCGCCGTGACCAGAAGACTGCCCCTCCTAAGTGCGACCCACGACTCATTCCCCTGGGCCCACACAGCAGCCACGACAGTTTAGATGCCTCCATCCTGAAACCGTTCCGAGTTCTACGCGGGTGCGTCCCCTGCTCACTGACTGCCTCCACTTGTGGCTCTGAAACATCTCAGAAGCTCCTCATATTTCTGTGAATATTACTCCGACTACCAACTTCCTGATCTTGGCTGAGGGAGCTTCCCGCAGCTGCTAAGAAGAGAAGCCTTAAGAGTATCCCTGAATCCTCTATTTCACCCCCTCACTGTCCATACTAGAAATAGTCGCTTTTAAACACACACATCGACTCCAACCACAGCTACTGCACCACAACTCCGAGCCATTACCTCCCACCTGAACTCCGGCAGCGGCCCCAGCCCCACCCAGCTGTGCCTCGTGCTACAGTCAGACGGTGCCTAACCGCACTTCGGGAGTATCACCTCTCCGTCCCGGGGCCGGGCAGGTACCTGGGCCGGGCTGCTGAGCGCGGCCGCCGCCATCGGACTCTGTGGGAGCCGCGGGGCCGGGCGCGGCGGGAGAGGCGGCGGTTCCGATCCCTGGGCCCCCAGGCGGCGTCGCTTGGCCTCAGCCCCGCCTCTCTCCCGTGAAGACAGCGTCTCCTCTCGCGCCCGCTCCAGTACCTTTGTTTCCACGCAAAATTACCGGACCTCTTACCAGAGGACCAACAACCGGAACAACGACGGAGGAAGCCGGAAGTCCCGCCCCACTGTGTCTCACGCGCACCTTCCTCTTTTCTAAGCGCTCATTGGCTAGCGACGCTGTGGCTCAACTCCTACTGTTCTGGGTAATGTCGTCGCCAAACAGCCACAGACGGGTAGCCAGGCATTTCCGGCTTGAAAAGGCCAGGCTGGCTGGGCAGGAAGGGGCGTTGGAAATAGTATATCCAGGTGCGCTCTCCCTCCCATCCCCCCATCTTTACAGGGATATGATCATATTTCTGAGCTGTGCTGCTTGCACCTCATCGCCCAAATGTTTGAAGACATACTATTTCAGACTCGCTGAAGGTCATACGATCCCAGAAGCTAAAAATACTATTTCAGATGCTTACAAAGGTTATGAATCCAACTAAATACATCATTCCACAAAGTCATTCAGATACAAATGTGTCCACTGTTAGCGGAAACTGATAAACTTACTGCGGGTAAAATTGTACTATTTCCAGAATATCCCACCTGGCTTGTGTTCCTCAGGGGTGGAGCGCAGTAGTTCATCTCCCTATCAGTGGGTAATTACCTGGGCGACCGAGGGCTTATCTGAACCTGAGCGGTTGCAGGGAGGTCTTGCTTGCTTCTGCGGAGCAGGAAAGAGATGGCCCTGGACTGCAGTTTGTCAGCAATGAACGAGTTTTAAACTTTATTTCTCCCTTTCATTTCGGTTTTAGAGGTATTTTGCCCCAGGATTTCCTCTCCTCGGAGTTACACTTATCTTATTTCAATTCAAATGCATTCATTCCAGTTCAGTGTGTCTGTGCATGTTAACTTTAAAAAATAAAGCCGTCAGATGGAATACTCGGAGAGACTGAGATTCCAGCCGCTTGTGGAGACAGGTGCCCACGGCAGGCTGCTCCGCAGCAAGGGAAGGGCAGGCACTTTGAGAGACTTCCTAGCAGCGACAGGGGTGCTGAAGGGGCAAGGATTACACAGAGCTTGCTGCTCAGGAGAAAGGACAGGTGGACAAAACCATCCCAGCACACTCAGCCCAGTGCATGAGGAACTTCCAGGAGCTTCAGGTGCTCCATACCCCAGGCTGGCAACTCAGGGCTGAGGCGCCCCACTGTCATACACAGCCTGCTGCTCCTTCCTTCTGGCCAGCACTGGTTCACAAACTTCCTGCCCCTGCCTTTGTACCAGGCCAGCCAGAGGGCGGCCCTGCCTATGGCAGCTACAGGGGCATAAAGCAGTGGCTCCTCCATGCACACCTGGCTCACTGGCCCTGGCAGTGGAGGCAGGCACTGCAGCTGGGAAGCAGAAAAGAGCTCTTTCTTCCCTGCAGGCACCATTGCTGTGCCTTACAACTCCCTTCACTCCAGGTGCTGGGCAGCTCCAGAGAGCAGAGCTTCTGGGCACTAGAGGGCGCCACATACACAAAGTTATTATTCCATAGTAATCAGAAATACAAAACAGCAAAAGAATCTTGTTCAAATCATAATCCCTCAAACAATCAGAAAGAGGGCTAAGTGAAACTGAAATCAACAATCTTCTTGATAAGGATTTCAAAATAAAAATCAACATGCTCATGAGGCTATGGAAAAATATTCAAGAACTCAAGGAGGACTTCAAGAAAGAGAAGCTTTGAAAAATAAAGTATATGAAATGAAACAGACAATGGAGGGATTTAAAAGCAGATTAGATGAGGTAAAGGGGACAGTAAATGAAATAGAAATTAGAGAACAGGAATACAAAGAAGCTGAGGCACAGAGAGAAAAAAAGAAAGAATAATAACAGAACTCTGTGACCAATCCAAATGGAACAATATTTGTATTATAGGGGTACGAGAAGAAGAAGAGAAAAAGGGATAGAGACTCTGAGGAAATAATTGCTGAAAACTCCCCCAATCTTTTCTTCTGAAAGGAAGAAAATAGTCTCTCAGGCCATGGAAGTGCAGAGATCTCCCAACACAAGGGACCTTAGGAAGACAGCACCAAAACATAATAATTAAAATGGCAAAGATCAAGGACAAGCATAGAGTATTAAAAGAATCCAGAGAGAGAAAAAAGATCACCTATAAAGGAAAACCCATCAGGCTATCATCATATTTCTGAGCAGAAACCTTACAGGCCAGAAGGAAGCGGTGTGATATATTTAATGCAATGAAACAGAAGGGCTTACAACCAAGAATATTTGGCAAGATTATCTACCCAGCAAGATTAGAAATAAAAGGGTTTCTTAACTTTTTTTCTCCCTTTGACTGATTTCAGTTTTAGAGGTGTTTTGCCCCCGGGATTTTCCCCCCAAAGTTACAAGCCTGCAATGGCAGTAAGTACATATCTATCAATAATCACCCTAAATGCAAATGGACTGAATGAAGCAATAAAGACATAGAGTTACAGAATGAATAAAAAAACAAGACCCATCTATATTCTGCCTAAAATTGCTATTTTATTCCAGAACTAGTAAAAAACCTAGATTCAAGCAAAGCTAGAATTAATTACCTAGAACTAGGTAAACTAAAGAGGATAATTTTAATTTTTATGACATTTTGTTTCAAACGTTGCTGATCTCTTAAAGAGAAGAAGTGTTTGTTTTAACCTTTTTCTCTTAAGCTAGTTTACAGCAGTTTAGTAAATTATACCTTTAAAGCAGAATTGAAACATTTATCTTTCTCTACCTGATCCTTTCAGAATTTAGAAACTCTCAATGACTGTTTTCATATTTTATGGCAATATTCTTATTTGCATAAATTCAATAAGAATCTGCTCTCCTTGGGACAGGACCAATGGAAAATGCTGGTTATATCACCAAGGCATTGACTGGAATGTCATATTTGAGACGTGTGAATAGACTCAATATGACCAGACAGCTTTAAGGAACTAAGATCGACTTTATGGAGCCAAGAAAGTCCCTTGGAAGAACTGGCCTAATACCTTGCTGTGGGTAAAATTGTAATATTTCCAGAATATCTCGCCTGGCTTTAGTACATTTGCATATCCTCAGGGGTGGAGAGAAGCTCATCTTTGTATCTGTGGGTGATTATCTGGGCAAGGAGGGCTTATCTGTACCTGAGAGGTGAGGGGAGGGCCAGCTTTGCTTCTGCTGGAGCAGGAAAGAGAGAACCAGCCCCGGACTGCAGTTTGTAAGCAATAAACAGATTTTAAACTTTATTTCTCCCTTTGACCGATTTCGGTTTTTAGAGGTATTTTGCCCCATGATTTCCTTTCCCTGGACTTACACTTGCTTTACAGGGTTCCCAGCAGCTGTACCAGCTGAGTAAGGAAGGTCACTTCCTGGCAGGTGCAGGAACCTCAGAATGTCTTGGGAACCTCAAGAAAGAGGAATTCACCCAAATCTACAGGTACTGCAGGCACGACCTGATGGCAAGTCTGGCTTGGCTTTCCTGGCCTCAACAGGCTTTTAAAAACTCAATCTGAAATTCCTTATGAAAAGTTCCAGCAAAGCACATTTTAAAAAGGCTGTGTGATCAGCTGATCCTCTTCCTGCTCCGTGTAAATGATCAAGCCAAGTGTTCAAAAGCTGAACATTTTCTTAATTGAGTTGCCTCTACTAAGAACAAGGGTGACTTTAGAAAGCACTGTTTCAATAATGCAGTCTTATCTATACTAAATTCTAATACTAGTCACTGGGACATGGACTAGATCCTAAATTCCTCTAATATCTGTCTATGACTCTCCAAATGTTCCCAATTTTCTCCCATCTCAGTTAAGAGTTTTACTATTCCTAGTTGCTCAGACAAGGATTTCAACCTCTGTCTCTGACAAGCAGTGAAGAAACTAGCTAATCAAGTCTCTCAGATTCATCGGAGGCTCTCAGAATCATAAGGAATTCAGTCCCAGTTTTAGAACTGGGCATCCTGGCTATTACCCTTTGCTGGACTCCTACTAATGTTTTACTAGCCCCACTGTGTAACTAAATCTCTTAACTAAACTTTAATCTCAAGGGACTGTAGTCTGAAAGAAATAAGTCCTGTTGTCATGAAGATTCAAGCCCTTTACCAACTGGTGAGTCAGCCAACTTCCTGAGAGCCCTAGGCGGGCACCCTTCCTGTCCTAATCACCATTCTGACAGCCAGCAAGCAGGGGCACCCAGATAACCACACTGTCCCTCACTAGCAGGAAGCAGCTAGAGCTGTCGTCGCTCTCACCCCAGTGATTTGGGTCCCAGCTGCTTGAGGGGGGAATTTTAGGCAGGAAAACAGATATGAGTCGGGTGGAAAGAGAATATGGCCAGTAAAATCCCTTCTAGTTAACCAGTTAAAAAGAGAAAGCTCAGAAGGCCAGGAGCAACTTGGCCTAGAAGTTTGAATACTCCCCAGATAAAGAAACCTATCTCAGCCTAGCCTTTGTTTTCACTGTGTTCATTAGCACACACCTTTGTAAGATTTACTTTAGCACCTGCTCAAAGGCCCAGCTTATTCAGGAAGAATTCTATCTTAAAGCTAAAACAGTATTTTAGTCAAACAAACAATAACTCAGCCCAGCTTAGAGGCAGGGCAGACAGTCTTGGTTGATACGCTTCTGGACAGAAACCGGCATCCTGGAAAGGAGTCAAAGCACAACATTTCTTGTGTTAAGTTGAAAGAAGAAACTTCATGTCTTAACAAAAATGAACATTCTGGGACAATTTAGCCAGTCCATACCTGCCTTCTGTCACATTCCTGAAAATCTTCAACCACCTATAAAAAGCCCCAGACCCTAAACCCTTAGGCGCGCTCCTCTCCGAGGTCGCCCGCACTTTCTGAGCGTGTAGCCTTGAAACTTTATCTCAGCCTTTCAGCGCCTCTTCCGTGAGGCAGCTCACACCACTCCCCTCCAAGTGTGCACTTGTTTTTTTTTAATTAAACAAACTTTTCAGGGTTCCTCTCTTCCCTGAGGTCACCAGCACTTTTTCTCTCTTTAAGTGACTTAAAATAAAATTTTTACTCCCCTTCACTACGGTGTCTCTGCCCTTCAATTCTTTGCTGCAGCGGGACAAAGACCAAGGAAAATACACCACGCTCCCCAACACCAGGATCAGCAGCGT